TTAGCATATAGCAATAGATCGTCTGCTGTTGTATGCAAAATCTACCCATATTTCCCGCTATATAAAGCACACAGAGTAGAACTCGTACTTACAATTTAACGAACAGTGTGAATTTTTTCGGTTATTTCCACATCATTCCCCCTTTAATGAAAATTGATGATTTAATTTTGTGCTGAAAATAATTTAATAGTTGTAAAAAGAAAAGAAATAAAATTCTTTTAAAAATATTTCATGCGAAAATGATATTAAACTATTGACTTCGATTTCTCAAACAATAAAAAAAAAAATTTGTCACCAGCAACCGGAATAATTTCAAAATCATACTGAATAATTACGAGTAATTTTTTTCAAAAATGAGAAATTCTTTCCTTATAAAATTTTCCTTACCAAATCTGAAAGAAAATAATGTTTTATTACATTATGGAAGCACCAACTCTTCACAAAAATATTTTTGTCAGTTTCAGGACAAATTTCAAAATCTTCTGATTTGATATTACATTTTCTTTTCATTTTTTTACTGAAATAATATCTTCTAGTATTTTTTTCTAGAAAAATATAAAATTATATATATTTATTTGTTATCGGCCACCAATTTTAAAAGTGTTCGTGCTGTATTTTTGTACGGAAGATCAAATAGGAAATAATTTAATAATTTATATTGCTGGATGTGGGAAAATAACCGAAAACATTCAAAATACTTAGAAAAGCTAATAATATTCAACGAATGATTTATTCATAAATAACAAATATACTCACGTATCATGGGACCTAATTTTCAAGCTTATTTGACTACAGTAAATGCATATATAGTTTGGTCAACGGCGTACATACGCTAATGTTATATCTCATGTATAATGCAACCCTCTTAAAATTAGCTTCAAAATTAGGTCTTCAAAAATCGCGTGATATGCGAGTATATATGTTATGTATCTTTTTGTTTATATTTTAACATTATTTCCATTTTTAATGATAATTATATCATGATCATATATTTTATCCTGACGTCATCAGAGTATTAAAAAGCTCTAACATTGTGGTATAAGACATTAGTGATGGTGAATGAGCCTTATCTGGCGGGAAATAGTCATGTTGTAAAGTAATATGCTTCAGTGTTTTATTTTTGCTTTTGTAAAAACTTATCTATTGGAGTTTTGTTTTTTGTTTTATAACACGCATGTTGAAAGTTTTAAATGTGAACTTTTGTTTTTACCCTCCCATTTACAGTTGACAAGGGTCCGGATTGCGAATTATTTGACCCCTGTCAGGTCTTCAAACCCTGCAGCAATGGGGGGTCGTGCATCGTTATACCTAATTCCAGTTCTCATCTACAAGATCGTTACACCTGCATCTGTCCCCACGGCTGGCAAGGGACTAACTGCCGAACCAGTGATGGGTGCGTGCATACAACTTGCTTAAACCAAGGAACATGCATTATGGTGTCTCCCAATAAAACCAAGTGCAAGTGTCTCGAAGGATTTTTGGGTGAGTTATGTGAATTTGTCAATCATTGCTCTCAGAATCCATGTTTCCATGGCGGTACGTGCCAGATGCTAGCTAACGCATCGTACGAATGTCACTGTCCGCCATTTTACGTGGGATCGAAATGCGAAACGCTTAGTCCCTGCAACACGTCCAACTGTAATAACGGGGAGTGTATTACTGTCGATGAGAAAAACTTCTACTGCAAATGCGAAAAAGGCTACACAGGCCCTTTTTGCAAACTCTACAACCCATGTAAATTGTTCAACCCCTGTGAAAACAACGGCACTTGTGAGCCGAGTAGCGAAACACCGGCCAAATACGTCTGCAAATGTAGAGAAAATTACATCGGGGCAAACTGTTCCCAGCTAGATCCTTGTAAATTTATCCACTGTGAAAATGGCGGCACTTGTTCTATAAGTGGAAAACCTGGTCAGCACTGCAAGTGTCTTCCAGGTTTTATTGGTGGTGAATGCCAGCGGGAGGATAAATGTTATCGTCAACAACCGTGTAAAAACGGGGCCACTTGCATCATGAACCTTAATGACACTTTTGTTTGCCATTGCACCAACGGATTTACAGGCGACCATTGCGAACTTATTGATCCATGTGCTTACGGATCGTGCAGTCCCAACACGTCCCGCGGTTGCATTCGACTATCGGACACTAAATACCGATGCAGCTGCACAGAAGGCTACACAGGTGACTTCTGCGAAACTGCCATCTCCAGTTGTCGCGAAAACCCCTGCAGAAACAATGGCTCATGTATTGTGAGTATTAATGCCACTGGATACCAATGCTATTGCAAGCCTGGCTTTTACGGTGTACATTGTGATGAAATGGATTCTTGCAGAGATCATGATTGTAAGAATGGCGCCACATGTCGCAGCCTTAACGATGGAACCTTTCGATGCCACTGTCCCGTTGGATTTTCCGGAACCCGCTGCGAGACTTTAACTTTCTGTTCTAGTTCTACATGTTTGAACGGAGGCAACTGCAGCAACGGCGCGCGACCAAATGACACTATTTGCTCTTGTCCCCAGGACTATTACGGGCAACAGTGTGAATTCTTCAACCACTGCACTCTCGACAACAACGCCTGCTTGAACAAAGGAACCTGCGTGATAGATTATACATACAGCTATCGTTTTAAAATCCCACGAGGGAGTTCGCGGGCTTTTTTGAAAAATATGAAGATTAAAAAAAGGAGAAGATATAACCGCGCGGTAGAGAATGTAAAAAAAGGTGTCAAAAATGGATTTCGTTGTATTTGTCAGGATGGCTTCACTGGTCAATTTTGCGAAAATCCTCCAAAAGATGTAGATTGCGATAAAAAGAATAAGTGTGCAAATGGAGGCACTTGCCTGCCGACAGGTGTTTGTCACTGCCAATCCAATTACACAGGAAACTACTGCGAGCAGCTCTTAAATGCATGCTATTCTAGACCTTGTCTCAACGGTGGGTCTTGTAAAGTCCAGCTCAGCGATAACGGATTTACTTGTAGCTGCATGCCTTTTTTTCAAGGTAAGCTGAAATGTTAAATATTTGTACTTTCTATAATCGTCTAGACGATCTGCTAACACTTCTCCCTCTTCTGAATTTACTAAACATCACCTTTTATTCAACTAATTTATGCAACTCTCGTTTATCTACCGCTAATGATTCTGATTTTTAACCATCCAATCAAAAACGTCAACAAAGAAAGATCAAATCGAGTAGACTCTTGGTTACCCGTTAATAGACAATAATATAAATGAAACATTAATACGAAAACTCAATTAAGCATATATATTCTTAAAGCCATGTCCATTCAATATATGGGCGATCATAGCTCTCCACGAATTATCTTTATTTATTGCCATGACTTCTGGGATAATAGTGTTTTTTTTTCGTTACCATCTCCAGTTTTGAATACATGAAGTCGGGATGTCGACTAAATGATAATACAAACTGGTTTCATAAATAACACGAAACTTGAATCTTTCATTGTTTAACATTACATCGCATTCAACATCAATTACTCCTAGCCAGTTTTTGGGAGTGCAAAGCCCTTATCTGAAATATGGACCTTACATTGTCCGCCTGAGATGTTTAATAGAATACCCAACTCCTCCCTGAGGGAGTTTATACAACTGCGTTTATTACAAATCTTCCCCACGCTTACAAAAGATGGAGGCTGGTGTTAGGTTAGGTATTTCTCCATTCCGGGATACGTAGTAACACTAGGTGAACTCTGCATCCGGTCCCATTAGCGATCAGCCGTGAAATCGAGTGCAAACTAATTCTAGTCTGGCTTCTACTCAAGGCTAAAAATCCAAGTCTGACTTGTTATTTAATCCACAGCTGGAGGAAATACATTCATAGCTTTTTCAAAGGCATTAGTGCCTAAGTGAACATAACTGACTAAGCCGGGACTTCAACTCTGCTCGGCGATTCTTCTCACCGCGCTTGTAATCGTTAAGCGACTCGCAGACTTTCTTCAGTGTGTACTGTAAATAAAATAAAAAAAAAGAAATAAAAATAGAGTCACGTCACCAAATTTAATAAAAATAGATTTTTTCGATGAACTTTTGGGGCATTGGATAAGTCGTTTCTCTCATTGTAGTGTTTGTAGTAAACGGAGAAAAAATATTATAATCACTATTTGATGTACGTTTAACAGCACTTATCCGGAAGTTGGGAACGTAGAATAAAAAAAATTAAATAGACAGGCCTTGTGGTACTATTATCTTGTTTCGATTAATATTTGCTGTCCAAATATACCTTCTTCTTCTTCTTCTTCTTCTTCTTCTTCTTCTTCTTCTTCTTCTTCTTCTTCTTCTTCTTCTTCTTCTTCTTTTAAAACATCATGTAAAAATCGCTACACAATTGCAGTCATGTTTCGACGCATACCAATGCGTCTCCTCAAGCGATTGCAATATCCTAAAATAAATAATATTGCTCTACTCTGTATTGAGCACTCTTTTAAATTAAATGTATGAACGCTGGAATTGTACTCTTTTCGTTCTCATCTTGCCGGAAAATAGATAGATAGATAGATAGATAGATAGATAGATAGATAGATAGATAGATAGATAGATATGATAAAATATAGTTTTAATGTATGCTATATTTATGGATTAAAGTGCTGCATATCAGGGATAAAGCGTATGTAAATATAGAAATGGACATTGAAGTTAACACCTAGAGGAGAAGGTCTGTTATGAGCTCAAAGTAAAGTCGTTATACTCAGACATAAAATGACAAGAGAAAAAAGATCTTAAAAACAAAACTAGGCTTCCCTATTTGAAATAATCTGAAAACTTGCAACTACTTAAGAAGACAAGTAAAAATACCCTGAAAACTCTTTAAGTATCGCGTTTCTCTAATCAAATTCACATGAACGCGCGCTTAGTGAGATATGCTGTTTACATTTTATTCTCTAACCCTATTGAATATAAGAATCAATACCTCTGATCGTGACAGCCATTGAGCATCTTGAGTAATGTTACGATGCTGTAGATATTACACCCTTCTCTATGTACCGTGTCCTTTCTGGACATGGACTATCATGGCTCTTCATGACTTCCTTTCCTTCGTAGGCCTACGTAACTTTTGCTTTATATCTCTTAATCCTTGGGGATCTTTTCTGTTAATTCACACCAAAATAAAAAATTATATTTACTAAAATTCTCCCAGAGTGAGGGCCTTCCATTGCACTCTGGTTGGATTAACCAAGGCGATCGCCCCAAATGTCTTTGATTCGGGTACGCTATTTCTAATTTTCTATTAATTGTAATAAATTCCTTGCAAGTACCTCGAATATGATCCACACTTACAAAATGTGAATAACTCCCTGATTTTTGGTAATTTTTCATTCTGAGGGCTGGAGTTGTTGCTATATATATATATATATATATATATATATATATATATATATATATATATATAGCATTCAACTCCAGCCCTCATCAATCTATTCAACTAAGCATGATGCTAAATATTAACACATAAGAGATATGGAGGTACAGCGGAACCTAATTTAAATAATATTGTAAATTTGTCTTCTCATGAATTAACTGAGCTTGAATCGTTTGTTCTTGCTCATGGGTTGGATTTTTGTATTCCACCCTCTATGCCCGATAAGGAGAAAATGTTTTTCTGAGTTCGAGGTCTTCTATGCTCATTTGGTAAGACTTTGGCCTACTTCTGCCGATGTGGTTTGTGATTTGAAAACCCAGTTAAATAATTCCGCACACATGTTTGCTAGTTCCTCTGTTGCTTCAGCTGAATCGAAATGGAAAACTGAATATCAGCGAGTTGTTAATTCCTTGAGGAATAATTGTGATCTTATAATCTCCAGACCGGATAAAGGTGCTGGTGTTGTTATCTTAGATCGGGAAGATTATGTGGATAAGATGTTTTCAATTTTGGAAGATCTGCTAATACGTGTGATGCAACTGCCTCAGGTGAAGTAAAATTTCAAAAACTACTCCTTAAGTGGGTAAAGACTGGGGTGCTTTCACAAGAAATTTCCAATGAAATTCGACCGTCTGGGTCAATTCGTCCCCAGTTGTATGGACTTCCAAAATTCCACAAGGATGGGGTACCATTAAGACCAATTTTGTCAATGGTTGGTTCAGCCCAACACAAGTTAACCAAATGGCTCTCATCGCTTTTGTGGATTTTGCATAAAGGATTCTTTTTCCTTTGTTGACCCAATCCGAAATTTGTTCATTTGATGTCCGTTCTTTATTCATTTATGTCCCTCTTTTGGAAACAATATTTGCTGCGATTTGCTTTATCGCAGTTCTTTGTCTCCCCACCTTGTATTCCTGAGTCTGGATTTGCCACGTCGTCTGTCGAATTCAGTTTTAATAATAGCATGTTTCAACAGATTGACGGGTTTGCTATGGGTTCCCCTTTGGGTCCGGCACTTTTGTTGGCTTTCACGAAGAGAGAATACGTAAGAATGTACTTCGTTCTCAACTGTATTGTCAATATGTTGACGATACTTTTTGTTTATTTAATAATGTAGCTGAGGCTGGTCAGTTTATCTCTTTTCTAAATCGTATCCATCCAGCGCTGAGATCGAGAAGGAATCCAATTTTCAACTTGCCTTCTTGGATGTCTTAGTACTCGAACACCGACAATTTTTCTTATTTATAGGAAACCAACATTTGCGGGGTTATATACGCGTTGGGATTCCTTTTGTCCTGAAAAACGTAAGATAATCATTAGAACCCTAGTTCATTGGGCATTAATGATTTGTTCAGAGTCTTTTCTTGGATGATGAAATCAATTCTGTTAAGGAAACCCTATGTAGTTTAGGGTATCCCCTCCTGATACTGTTCATTCGGTCATCCGCAACAAGATTGAGGAGTTCAGAAAGGTCAAACTTTGTACTGTTAAAAAATACCCTGTTTATCTTAGATTGCCCTGGATTGTATCCAAGTGTGAAAGTATAGTTAGACAGATTTCATCTAATGTGCGTCGTTGTTTTTCTCGGCTGAGGTTCGTATAGTTTTTCAAACCCGGCCTATGTTTCGTTCTGGTTTTGTAAGGATGTTCTCCGTCCCCATCAAATTAATTCTATTGTTTACAAATATAATTGTAGTTGTGGTGCTGACTAAATAGAGAGGACAACAACATATTCCCACTAAGATCAGGAATCACCCCTTGTCTTTGAATGGACTTGTCCCAAATACCTATGGTTCCGCCATATGTAGACACTTCTTAAATAACAGAGGGTGTAGTGCTAATTTTAGTTGTGACTGGTTCAGTGTTCTGTCCCGGTCACACTCTTTATTTCACCACAAGGTGCTGAAGGCACTTTATATCGGGTCCTGCAAGACTTCCCTGTGTAAACCGCGTGAATGTTTGTTGGAGCTCGCTGTTATTTGTCTCTAGCTCCTTGAGCTCATAATTTTTTTTTCTTCCCCTTTTCCTTCTCATTGCACATTTTCTAGTGTTTTAATTTAAGTTGAATCTCTCGTGGAGGCCTGAAGAGCGAGAGCAAAACCGGTTGCTTCGCTTTTAATA